TCACAACTCACAGCGTTTATGGTTTGTGCGGCTCGTCTCTGCGGTGAGCCAATATTCTCCCAAACTGAACGGGGCAGCATGGAGCTCTACGGCACGCATCCAACACTACACCATAGTAGAAGTAGAAATTACTGTTTACAACATGGCATTCCAGCATTTTTAACAGTGTCCTCGTCTTTTCCGACAGTGCGAGCAATTTCTCTCCAAGAACTATTAACAACATGTTGATCACGGTGATCTCTGAGAGCTGAATCATACAAATGTCTGTATTTAGGAACCTCTGCCATACTAGTTCTTGCCGGTCCGCCATGTTTTCCCGCGTCCGTCCGTCCGCGTGGTTAGAAATTTTCCGAGGTGCGCGTTGCGGAAATCTTGGGACGTGCGGAGACGCGGTGGAGGGGCGTGGTTGTTAAAATGACGCAACTTTTCCGCACGGAGCCGTGCGGACCTCGCGGACGCGTCAAGCATGAACCAACCTTTAGTTAGATACTGTTTTCACGTGTCCTCACCGCAAACAGCTTTAAGAGTGCTAATGATTTTAGCAGTTAGCTCAGTGTTGTAACGTGGCATTAATACCTTAATAAATTCAAAAAAATGTACTAGAAATTAATAAGGAATAAAATTGTTAGTTATAAGCAGATCCTAGCACATACTTGCCGTTAGCATTAGCTAATTACGTAATTAAAGTAGCACATCTCACAAGCATAAACAAGGCAACGATCATTTAAAATTTCTCTGGATTTCTAAGTTGTTAACCAACCTGAAATAAAATAGTTGTAGGCTTTCAGACTATAAAAGGCTTTTGGTTTGCAGATTAATATGCAATTTGCCACATGAGATAGTTTGTTATGCTGGTCGCTTCTGTTGGGTAAATCCTCCAGCGAAACAAGTGTTTGTTGTAAATGCTCTATATGCTTACGGGCGTACAAAGTTAAGTGTACATTTTCAATGAACGAACCAAGTGTTTTATAGGTTCAGATAGACACAAAATGTTGTTTTCGTTCATTCTACTGGTAGTTTATTTTGCTCAAATTGAAATTGAGGTCTATCTCTAATTCTAGCCTCCTTCCAATAAAGGCCTGAACCAGGATTTGAAGTCAAAGAATCCCAAAAATAATCAAAGGTTCCAACAAAATCATAGAACCTTCCGTAGGAAGACTGGTTCAAATAATCTGAATCTCGTACCACCACATACCAGTTGCAGAGTTCTACTTCATGCAAATATGGCACTAGCCAAGCTATACCTCAACAAAAGATGTTTTCGTACAGGCCTTTCTTTCTGGGGTTGTCACACACACACACACACACACACACACACACACACACACACACACACACACACACACACACACACACACACACACACACACACACACACACACACACACTGAGATGGCTGTCAGAATGGACAAATGCTGAATAGTCTTCCTATTCCAGCCTGAGTGTTGGCTACATTACTGTACATCCAATCGAAGACCAGATGTCAAAATATGAGCAAATCAGACACTGAATCCTGTCGTCTGAAGCTCAGCGCTGATGTGGCTTTCCAACCCCCCGGTTACTACACCTGGGGTAACCCTTTTTTAACCCGAATGTTTGGTCGTGTAAACGCATATCGGGATATCCCCATCAAAGCGTGTGTTCTGCGCATGCTCTGTTTGCAAGGAATCTTGGTCTTTTGAGTAGCAAGACGTCTTGTATACGCCGGACCACCGGAAGTAAACAACAAGTTGGGAGCAACATGGCGAGTCGCAGCAAAGCACTACACTTTTGGAGTGACGAGGAAACTAAAGCGCAAACAAACGCGGTCGCTATCTCTTCCGAACTGGGAAACATGTTGTTGTTTTCACGGATACCGGAACAAGAAGAACCGGAAATGACGCATATTGCGTCTGGACGTAGTCCATACGTCCTGACGCTACCCCAGTGTCCGCATTTACATCAGGTTATGCAAGTTCGGGGTAACTCTTTCTATTTATGCTTGTAAACGGGTTATTCTGATCAACTCAGAAACCCGAATACCGACCTTAACTCGATCATAACCCGGATACTGGCTGCATGCAAATGTAGTCAATGACTGAGAAGGCATTAATTCTACTAGAGACCACTGCAAATGGTTGGTTTAATGAGTGAACCACACCTCTAGTAAAAATCACTCATGGAGCTCTTATTCACTTAATCTTAAATTAGGCTACTCAGCTTTCCTCCAAAACAAAATGATTACTTTCTTTTTTGAAATTCATCACAGACAGCAGCAATCACCACTTTACCTCAGTGGAACAGTGAATCTTTTCTCTGTCAGATTTGTGCATAAAAGACAGAAGTGTTCATCCTGTTAGGCCAAACCAAAAGCCTCTCTGACTGACATGCTTAGCTTCACTGTGGAGTGAGATATCTTCAGAGCTCTGCCCACCAGCCTCCCTTCCATCCACTACTGGTTCCTAATCTTGTCTGTAAGCTGTTCACAGTGGGGTGTCCTGACCATTTCTGCCACCCTTACTCTTAGCCTCTGCCTTGAATCGTACGCTGATTTAGAGCATGAATCATCACTGTGGGATTATACAGAGTGAGTCATATCAGCCAAGGGATGCCCGCCGCACTTGTATGTATTCCGTGTGTTGCTGTCAGGGCCGAGAGCCAAAGAGACGTTTAACATTTTTACATGAGGAGTTTCTGCAGCGACGCTTTAGGTGAAGTTGAAGAAAACCCATTACCACTGGAATGAGGATTCCTGTTATGCACAAAGTGGTCTGATCTTCTCAGTTCACCCCCTGCTGTGGTGAAATGTGGGTGAGCTGGATCCACACCAGTTTCAGACAACAACCACTTCTGCTGGTGTTTTATTGTAAGAGTTATACAAGAACACCTGTTCCCTTTGTTAGTGTTGTTCGTTAACCATTTATAGAGGTTTGGAAAAGGACGTGTAAACTAGAGCTGGTGACCCCATGATACTTCAGCATTTTGAGCTGGACTTGTTCATAAATGATCGGTTGGTTCGCTGGAGTTTTTTTTTGACAATTAAAATTGCGCCCACATTTTCAAAGTTAAACACATTTTTTTTAACAACGTAGTTTCTGCTTGCCCCCCCCCCCCCCCCCCCCCTGCGCAGCGGCCACAAACTCACTGATGCACCTGCGGCCTCTCGGAGTTCCTGCTGCTCTAAACATTAGAATAATTATTTCATTTTCTGTTCCTCACTTCTGATTACCTTCAATGGTGTCTGTTTGTTGCAACCACCAGGTACAAAAACTAACTTGTTTTTATTTGATTATTTTTCTGTCCTGCCTGTTTATTATCTTCCTGCATCTCCTCTAAATTCTAAAGAAAAACTGCTACCTGGGTTCATATATATTCACCTTATGAGTTACCTTTGAACTGCAGTTCTAAAAGATCTCCCGCCTGCAAAAACAGCGGAGTGCGCGCTGGCCACACCGGTGAGGTGCGTCACTGGAGGACAAAACAGGTGATGTGCTCCGATCCACAGCAGCGAAAAGCATCAGGCACAAATAAAAGAATAAAAGACAGAAAACATAAAAGGAAATGAGCCGACATGAACGATCACGTGTTAAATTAGTTTTTCAGGTGGCGACACCTGATTTGATAATGTTACTGTGGCCGTGCTCAGGACGCAGATGTCTGGAGCGCGTCAACAATCAGAGCTTTGCATGCGCAGGCTGGTTAAGGTTAGGATGGGGGTGAGGGGAAGGTTAAATTGCAAGAGGGTAAAGGTCACAATTTGGTTAAATGTCCGTTTTACGGCGGGTGTCAGTACCGACGCTCTGGCACAGCGCGTCGCCTCCCGACGCGCAGGGGCTCGTTTCCTGCTGTCTTTTCCGAGGACTGCATCTTGTCGCTCATTATCACATGACAGCAACTAGTCGATGACAGGCATAAAAAGTCACTACAGAGCAGTGAGGTTGACTAGTCGACTAGTTCATACAACCCCTACTCCAAAGTGCTTTACACTACAGTTTATCATTCATCCATTCACACGCTGATGGTGGTGAGCTGCGATGTAGCTATAGCTGCCCTGGCAGAGGCGAGGCTGCCGAGCACTGGCGCCACCGGTCCCTCCGACCACTACCAGCAGGCAACAGGGGTTAAGTGTCTTGCCCAAGGACACAACAGCAGGATTCTCTGGTGGGAGCCGGGATCAAACCTGCAACCTTCCGATTACTGGACAACCCGCTCAACCTCCTGAGCTGCTGCTGCTTTACACCACACTGCCTTCTCCTTTGCTTCCAAAAGGTGAAGCAGGAATCAGCTGGGCTGTTTCTACCTGTGTGGTCACCAGTTAGTGAGCTAAATGTCCGACAGAGCACCGGACACATTTTAGTGACACTAATCATCTTTGTTTGAACTTCTATAGCTGAGCAGCTTTGGGAGTCAACGCTATTCAAGATGGCTGCTACTGTCAAGTAATCTTAGAAGGCAGAGAGAAGTCTGACCCCTCCACCTTTACAGGTGTTCACCTCAGTCTGATTTAGTGAAGAGACAGATGCCAACACAAACTTCCATATAGCTGAGCAAAAGTCTGTCAGCTGATCATCCACAAGCAGAAATCATAAGAATTCTATAGCATGAGCAGTCAGCTGGGTAGAAGACTTCCACATGGACAATGTTAAATATATTGAGTCAAACTATAGTGCAGTGATGGCTGAGACCACGCCCCACACGTGGAAGATCTTTGCTTCGCCCTCAAACATGGGAGTCCCCCCCCTTCTGGACAGATTGTAATGGAAGCACTCATCGGTTAACTTTTAGAGTCAGCTTCATTCAAGATGACTTCCTCAGCTAATCTACCCTGGCACACACAGCATGGCTCCCCCCTCGACAGACGTGGCAGATCCTGAGCTGAAATGTGGCCGCCGAGTCCAGATGGTGGTGTGCTCTGATAATGGGGTGGGTACCATCCCGATTAGGGTTCAGTTAAACCGGCAGCGTGGTTCTCATGACTCACATCTACAGAGGCTGGTGCTGTTCAGCGCCTTAAGGGATGTTGCTTCTGTCCATATTTAGAAGTGTAACATCACCCTTTTTCAAGTGAAATGATTTAATCAGCTCCTGCTGCTAGGTTTGTGCAGACTCACAGATCCAGATGGAGTAAAAAATATAGACTCCCCTCCCCTCCCCTCCGTCTCTCATCACATACTGCAGCTCCTCCCTCCACCTCGCTCTTCTCCCAGTCAGATGCCTTCCTCAGTCTCCATCCTTCCTTCCTTCTTCCTTCAGCCAACGCTGAAGCGACCAGCGGATGTGCCATTCCCACGACTGTACGTGTGTGTGGCTCTATGTGTGAACTGCATGTGTCAACGTGTGCACACGTGAGTCTTTTCAGCTGATGAGAAGGACCCGTGAAGCGCTCTGGACTGGATATCCGGACCCCTTCCTCGTGCACACTTATCACAATTTTAAACATCTCTCCAGCATCCTCCCTGTTCAGAGGATCTGGTTTCTGTCCTGTTGGGGCAGCATCTCAATGGCATCTTGGTCCACCCTTTCCCCTCTACATTGGATTTAATGAGCAGGCGTTGTGAATGGAAACAAGTCATCTGTGGATTTCCTTCATTTCAACTCTGGTAAGGATCTTTCTTCTCTTCTGCTTTGTATCTGTCTGCTTCTCCTGCTCTCCCCACCTGATTCACTCATAACAAACTGACAGGTGAATGCAGTCCTCACCATTGGATCAGGGAGCAGTCAGACGAAGCCGAGCTGGCTATTTAAAGTAGGACATAGAGGGAGAGGGAGGTGGGGGCGTGTGTAAGGGCTGGATGGGGGAGTGCAGGGGAGAGGACTAGAAGTGTGCGCCGACATCAGCAGTCATGCTGTCAAAGGCTGGGGAAAAACGCTCTACTTGGGGCTTTTGCATTGATCTGCTGGTATTTTCAGCTCCTGTTGCAGACAGCTGCCTGGTTTATCTGGTACAGGTCCACGGGGGTTCTACTTTGTGATAATAAGGAGGAGTCTTCTGATTGGTCTCGTCCTCTGTTCAAACAAACACCTGAATGTATTTCTGTTCCAGCAAACACGTGATGCAACAAGGTGGGACAGGATTAGATAAGAGCTTCCTGTACTTCATGAATGGGAATCTGGTTGGATGAGCTGTCTCCATAAGCCCGGGAATTCCAGAGGCAGTCCTTACTAGTCACAGTCGATACATTTGCTTTAAACTTAAATAATTTTCCACATTTCCTAAATTTTGAATGATTAGAAATGGAGTTTCAGCCTCACCTTGTTACGTCTACTTGTTTTTTTTTTCCTTTTGAGGAGCAAAGGCAAGCAGAAACCTGCCACGGGACTGTTCCACAGTGCTGGAGTGGCTTCCTTCCTTTTGTCTTTCTGCTGTCTTGTTAGTTTTTATTCATCTTACGCTCTCGCCTTCATGAACTCTACAGGGAGAGCTGTGATTGTTAGAGGAGAGAAATGGGCAATCGTGGTATCTGAAAAAGTAGTAAAGTGGTGGTGGTGTGTGTGTGTGTGTGTGTGTGTGTGTGTGTGTTGGGGGGGGGGGGGGGGGGGGGAATTAGAAGGCAGGGAACAAAGCAGTGAAAATGTAGCCAGATTGACAGGAGGCCAGAGACAAGAGGGAGAAGCAGAGCTTGCGGCTCGTACAGCTCAGAGAGAGCTTTTAGGCGGCCAAGCCACTCGTGATGCTCAGGGTCTTGGCAGCGGGTCAGCTTACACACACACACACACACACACACACACACACACACACACACACACACACACACACGCTCAGAGGAGGTAAGGATGTGATAGATTACCCTAGGACTAGCATCCTGCACCCTAACTGGGTGCATTTCCTGCAAAGGGGCATCAATATTGATCACATTTTCCATTTCAGAGAAGAAACCATGAGAACACCAAGAGATGGGAAAATAATAAAAGATAAATCAAGTTACCCCACCTTGGGCGGACCTTCTGCTACCGTTTCATTTATAATTGCTTTCCAGCACTTAGCCCATTCAGGCTGATACGCCTGCTTATTGAAAAGCAGCTGCAGCACCGAGGCTGGCGCTTTCACCGGGAGCTGCAGTCACGCTTGAAATGGAAACGGTGAACCACATGGAGGCAGATGTTTATGTTAAATTGTTTTTAGTGAAACCATTTGTCACATGATCGCCGGAAATTGACCTTTGGGTTTAGAACTAAAATCTAATGTTACCAACTGGAGCTTTTAGAAGATTCTTTAGGAAAATCAGAGATCATCAGAGGAAGTTAAAGCTGTTAAAAGATGACTCATCGTAATTTGAGTCAGACATTCTGCTAATTGGCTGGTGGGTTAGCATTTCCCTTGTTTCTTTTAACACACACACACACACACACACACACACACACACACACACACACACACACACGCACGCACGCACGCACGCACGCACGCACGCACGCACGCACACACACACACACACACTGGGCTTGCAGGAGTCCTCTCTTCTACTCGGCTGCAGTGAAAGCTTGCCATGCAGTAGGTGACTCACGCTGCCCATGAACGCCTCTCCTCCACAGCTACGCAGCACTGATACCACCCATCACCGAGGAGGCATTACAAACTCATTTTTCTCGACTTCCCAGGCTATTTTCAAGGCCATAATTGGGAATAATGGTTATTAGCGATGTGGCTTGATTATTTACCGTGATGCATGAAATGAAGTTGGCAGATTAGTCACAGCACTTGGCAGCTAATGGTGTCCCCAGCGATGTGCTGCTGTTTTATCAGTTTACTCTTTTGCACTGACACAATTTCACACACTGCTTGTCTGTCGGCCATCTTTCTTTTTATTGACGTCACTCCAGTCTCAGAAGTTTTAGCCGTGAATCTTTCCACATGTCAGTGATGAACGTGCTGCACATGCTCAGAGTAAAACGTGACTAATAAAACAGAAAAGAAACAAACAAATTCCACATAAACAGATTAATGATAAAGTAGCTGGATTAGTTCTTTATTAAAGTTACAAACGGGGTCTTTGGTGCACCCTTGCTGTCCGAACGATCGGCCCAGAGTTTGTACATCATCATGTCACGTGAAACGTATTGTGGTGTACTTTTGTAATAAAATACAACATGCCATGGGTTCTACCATGGCATGCTGACTACCAACCATTTTAATGATGCACATCATGTTTTTGTGTTCACACGCACATGTAGACAGATAACGGTGACCAGTTGTTAGGAGAAAACAAGAAAGCAGCATTTGCTTCATCTCGTCTTTCTTTCTTTGCTGGCTGGCAAAATGTCAAAGTTATAAATAACGAAAAGATAAATACTTGGAGAAATGCTTTTATCTCTTGTGTTTGGATGCATGAGTAGGCTGAGAGTGGTGAGTGGAGCTACAGTCTCAGGGAAGGAATCACCCTTCTGTGACCCTTTGTTGTTCTACAAGTCATAAATCCGACTCCTCACTTGGCCCAGTTTCATCTGGGACGAGCAGCCTTTCTGAAACATTTATCAAAAGGGCAAACGAATAACCACAGAAGCATTTCAGTTGTTCGTCATAACAAAATAAGCAGAGGGTTGCATTAATTAGTTCATCCATACAACTCACAGCCAGCATAAGCTAAGATCCCGTAGTCAGCTGATTGGTCATCAGTGAAACTTCTCAGAGTCCAAACTAGAGCGTCTGCTCTGCAGCCCGGAACCCAGAGTCGGATTCAGCAGAGCGAGCCTCTGAAGACGCGTCCTGGTGCAGAGAAGACTGGTTTTTAACGCCTAACACACACACATGAACAGCTGGCAGCAGCAGTTATAGTCTGAGGTATAATCACAGTTTCACATATTTAATAACACACACACACACACACACACACACACACACACACACACACACACACACACACACACACACACACACACACACACACACACACACACACACACACATTAAATAAAGGGTTTGAACTCCTCACCAGAGATTCTTCTTGAACAAGTAATCTGAGTAGTTTTTGAGATGACAGTTTAAAACATTTTAAACAGTTTTAATCATATTTGCTAAACAGCCTGTGTTGAGCTTCTGTAAAAAGCTTTAACTGTTGACAGCTGGTCCGGGTTAGCGCTGAAGGATGGAGACTCCATGAAAAAGATGCTAAATTCCCACTAGTGCAGTTGTTATGAATATCCTTAAGTATAATTTCTAATATTCCATATCTCCATTTCCAAATTTGACCAGTGAGATTATTATTTTTGCAAGAATAAATGATATTAATTTTTATGTTAGACTGGAATTATAAAGAAGTGATGATTAGATGTTAAGATGGCTTGCTGTACTAACTTGTAGACAGATGAAAAGGAATGGCAGTACAACATTACTAAATGAACCCTCGTTGACTGGATTTTTTACTGTAAAATCACCTCAGTCTCTGACTCGGTTGGAGCGTATCTGATGATGTCAGGGATGATGACATTAAGTTTGGACGTGTCGGAACTTTTGTTTCTGCAGATGTTGTGAATTTCTCCTTTAGCAGCTTTGGGAATCTAAACTATTCCCACACCGACTTCACGTGCTTCCTGAGTGAAGCCGGAGCAGCTCTGGTGGTTGTTGTAGCTGCTTCTGCTTCTGGTCCAGTTTTTGTCTGTGCGAGTCGCATGATCACCTTTTTGGATCGGCAGAGTTGCAGAAGTCTTTAGGGTGGGTTAACCGCAGGGCTTCACATCACAGTTAAACCCATCAACCCTATTAGAAAAGGCTTTTCCTTAACCCCAGAGTAAGTCTCTTAAGGTAAAGCATGCATACCTCTGACAGCAGTAGCTGCTCATATGTTTCTAATGATCTAATAATTAGGGTTAGGGTCAGATTAATGTAGTTTAATAACCAACCTTCGTCAGTGTCCGCTGTGGCTTCCACGAACCTCACACATTTCAACACACAGAGTTGATCAGGTGGGCTGTTGGTCCGCTCCTCTTCCACAGCTGTGTGAATATTAGCGGTACGTGGAACACGCTGTCGTACACGTCGATCCAGAGCAACCTAAACACGCTCCATGGGTGGCATGTCTGGTGAGCATGCTGGCCATGCAGGAACTGGGATGTTTTCAGCTTCCAGGAGCAGACATTCCAGGTGTCAGGCATTTTGTTTACTTCTTCTTTAATTATTGATGAGAATGAGTGGTTTTTAAATGAATCTCCAGTTTTGGATTTCAACTCCGTTAAGAATATCTAATGGTATTGTAGTACTGCTGTCATGACTGAGGGAAGTTTCCTGACCCAAGACATGCAGAATTCACATGTGGGGACTGAAATCCAGAGCTTGGGAGGGTAGCCAAGACTGGGGTGAGCAACGTCAGTGAGAATCCAAAATCCAAGGGAGGTGAGCGGTGGGAGAGCGGGTCGGTTCGGGCGAGGAGGAAGATCAGGCTTGGAGATGAAAAACCAGGTTATTGTAGAGTAGGTTCGTGGTGAGAATTCCTGGTGAAGGGAAGGCAGAGGTCATCAAAAACAACAACGACGGACAAATATAAGGCAAGACTAAAGCTGTAGTTTTACTATAGTGGCAAGAGCTACCCAAAGTTAGTAATCTTCCGGCGAGGTGAAGTGATCTCCAGCTCCTTATAAACACAGGTAGTTGATGAGGGAAATCACC